TGACAAAGCACGTAAGTGATTGGTATATATAATCTCAAGGCAAAAACACTGTGTTACCTATCTTAAAAGATATCTATGGATCTTCTTGTGATTTCTGACTGTTTGATAAACAAAAAATGTGTTTTATGCTTGATTAAATTAAGCCCACTTTATGCAAGCACTTAAAAATACATTTAACTGCATACCCAAACATAAGATCTGAAACAAATGGTGCCCAGGGTATGTAGTGCCTTTGTGAATTCGCTCTGTCCTCCTCCGCACACTACAGGACTAGATGGTCAGATGTGAGGTTAATGTGTGGGTCTCTGAGGCGGGGGTGGGTGGGCACGGGGGTGAATGTGCTGAGAGTGGTGCTGGACAGCGGTCAGAGGCGTTCGAACTATCAAGGGTAATGCAGCCTTGTTGGCTGCTGTCTCTCTCTGGTCTCCCTGGTCAAGGGCGGCACAGGACTAATGATGGGGAGGTCCATTAGTGTCGACTGGCTGAGCACATTGTTCCCTTTGGTGAAATTCCTGGCTAAATACAGACATTTGAAGACGACCCCCCCACCCCACCCCCGCGCACGCAGCACACACACACCAGAAGTCATTTGTCAACTACAAAGCATGATATTAAAACTTTTACAATAAAAAAAGAGTGTGACACAGAAGAAGCTGCAAGTGCATTAGAAACATCTTGCTTAGAAAATCAACCTATTACTGATTGTAAAACAAGCAATATAAGCAATACATTAAGCTTGGGATGAACACTTTTTCATACAGAGAGAAATACGCCAACCATGAAGTGGCATATTTAATGACTAGCCTCATGTTATGGATGGGTCCGTTTACACGTTTTGTGGGCTGAGGTTTTGCCAACTTTTCTGCATCTTTCTCCTGCCATATGATGACATTTGAGCCACACTTTGAAAGAATATTTAACTCTCTGTGGCACCTCAGTGTTTGCTCGGAACTAAAGGAGCATGTGGACCTGAAAATAGGTATCGATCCCAGCTTTGGCAAATGGATTACAATGGAAGTGTTATTTGTCAGAAGTTCAGAGTAAGTGTTAAAATATATGTAACATTGGTGTCTCAATAAACACACAAACCAAAGCTTCCTGATTCTTCTTGGGTTGACAAATTTGACCACACAGATAAAGAATGAAACTGCAGACACTTCCAGTTTATTTTTATTTTACTGGAGTTAGTTTTGAAAGCATAAAATATAGGTCAAGTTATTTATTTATTTATATTTTCTAAAGACTTCTTTTTTTTTTAAATTTTATGTATTTCTGTTCATTTCTTGTGCTGCACAGATACATTAGAATAGAATAGAATAGAATAGAATAGCCTTTATTGTCATTGTACAGAGTACAACGAAATTGGAGTGCCACTCCCTTAGTGCAAGATTCAATAATAAATATAAATGTAAAATATAAAAAGTACAATAAAAGGGATAAAGGGCTGCATAAAATTTTGGTCCACTATTGTTTTACTAACTTTAGCTTAATAGTTTCTAAACTATTTCTAAGAAGTTGTAAGTTCACACAATCAAAGTCAATTCTCTGCAGATTTACAAGCCTTTTCACATGAACAATTACCATGATACGACACCTTTGGAAAGTATGCTTCCTGAGCCTGATCACAGTAGGGCTCTGTCCCATAAAGCAGGCTGTAAAACTGTACTGGATAGTAGGAGGTAGTGGTTTTGCTGTGGTCAGCACTGCAAGGGAGTTTTCACAGATAAGGCTAATCGCTGTGCTTATCATCACAGCAGTAGTTGAGATTGAAAAGCATATGCTAGCAATCACACATGTGAACCCACACAGGGAGGGATGGCGAAATATCCACTCTCAAATCATTGGTCACAAACAGCCCTTTTGTCTCCAGTCCTGCCATATCAAACTCCAGGGAAACAAGGAGAAGAATAAAACAGTCACATTTAAAACTGGTGACAAACAGGTCAAAATGTCCAAATTTACTTCACTTTTCTCTCTCACACACACACACATTTCACAGGCATGCTGAAGTGCGGTCTCTTCGTGTGTCAAAAGCACCTCCAAACTATGAGCTGCTCCCCACCATTATTATCATAAAGAGAGGTCTCCAGCCCCACAAGTCCACACACAATCACTCTCAGGCCCTGCCCCACTCCCACCATTGTCCCACACTCCACTCACACATACACACACGCACAATGGCCACTCCAGAGCCAAGGGTCCCACTATGCAATCCTGTCACACAAGGACACAAACCAGTCCTTATCACATCAGAGAGGGAAACGAATGATAGTGGCTCAAAAGTGGAGGAAAATAGGTGAGATACAAAAGCTAGAGTTCAGATTATGTGGTGAGTGTGCAGATAACATATTAGGGAGTTATTATTTTGTTTCTGTAAGCTCTTATCACCCAAGCTTAATCAATCATTAGCACACCCTCCAAGGGCCACACAAAGATAGATTAATGATGTGTGTACATACCACCTCACTGCTGACTAATGCAACCTGAAGAAAACTTGGAATGCTTGCAGCCAATCCCCCCAGACTACATCAAGCACTAACAAAGACCAGGTAAACAGCAGTGATTATGATTAAATGGGGATACTTTCCAAAACAGTAATCCTATCATGTATTCAGCTTAATAAAGCGGGCGTAGAAAACAAAAGCGTAAAGGAAGTGCTGGAGAGAAAAGAACGTAAGCTCTACAGAGGCAGAACTTATCATATGGGACATAAATCCCACATCAAACAGTCCCAGGAATGAATGATTACATTTTTCATCCCACACATTACCCACGGACTGCTGTTGGCTCCTTCCACATCCAACAAAAGAGTTAAGGGTTAAAGCGCCGATCACGAACGGCAGCAACAACAGGAGATCAGACAGATCAAGAGAGCGGCACAGATTAGCCAGTTCAATAATTCAACTATTTAAAGGTGCTGTTATAGGATAAGATTTGCTGTTACATAATGACTTTGAGATGACGTGCATATAATTATAAACTACGGCTGAAATGATTAAGCAGCAGTATGAATCAAATTTGTGAAATCTGTGATGAATATCATGAGGAACAGACAACTTTTTCAAATTTTAAGCAATGCAAAACCTTAATGTTGAGCTTATTATGAAAAAGAAATTGTAGTCTTTTGATTTTTCACCTTAGGAACATTATTCTATTTAAATACCGATTCTTTTTTTTTTATTTCCTCAAGCTTAAAGACATCTGTTGTTTATCATATATGTTAAAAAAAGGTGGAGTAAAATGCACAGACTTCTGTTATGTAAGGTAACACAGACAGTTTGCCTTAACTACATGTACAACAGTAATGTTTACATGTGCAGCCAACCTCCTAAAGCAAAAAAACCCCAACAAAACAAAACACTGATATTTGCTTAAAATGTTAACGAAATTAAGAAAATACGAGTGGTCATTTACAGACTGCCTCACCATCGGTGCACTCAAATGCAAAATAACACTGGTGGGATGTCTGTGTATGCTTTGGATCATGTCATGCAAAAGAGCCACAGTTAACCTTTTACTGAACAGATAGCAAACACAAACACACACAAGCAGCATACATCAAACCTATAACCTAAACCCAATCAATTTTTACTGCCTTCCCACATGGGCTCAGGCTATCTGCTGCCACACAAGCATGCATTTCCTTGTCATAAAAGGGCTACTTGTGGTGGGATGTGGTGTGATGTCACGGCAGCCTACTCAGGCTGCTGCAGGGAGTGTGTGTTTTTGAGTGAACGTGTGTGTGTGTGTGTGTAGGAATGTGGAGGGTAAAGGGGCTGATGGTGGGGGAAGGGGTCCCGAGTGGGAAGTGTCCTGCACTGCTTGACATGCCCCCACGCCAAATGCTTAGAAAGTCACCACATTGTTCTGGCAGCAGAGCACACTTATTAAAGATGCAGATACACGCTTATTATTAAAATTATTTAATAATAAGTGTTTGTTTCTAAAGCTTGGACAAGGCATCAGATTATTTGCTTACTATTCGTAAGTTATGAGACTACTCAGGCTCTAGTTCCTTGTTATTGCTGTCTTTTCAGTCTATTTGGTGGGGGCATTTTGATTTAAGCATAACAATACTAAGATAAAAATCGTGCAAAACGCTAAACACTGCAGTATAATTGACTGAGATATACTTTCAGATGTTATCCACTCTCTCTTGAACCTCAAATCTCTTCACTTTTGCTGAAACAAATAGTAGCTTTGTGAATGGAGAAAGAATAGTTTAAGGCACACACTTTATGGCTAGTCCTCAAATAATAAAATGCATAGATGGCACACGAGTGTACTTCCACTTCCTCTTTTGTGCAGAGAAAAAAATTCACTGGCTTCAATAGAGAAAGGGAGCAACAAGAACAAACTTATGCAAGCATTTCAGGAATTAGACAAACAGACACCCATACAGACCTCAGCTGACTGCTGGGAATCCCCCCCAACACACACACACACACACACACACACACACACACACACACACACACACACACACACACACCTCACTTCAAACACCGTGACAGACCTGACAATGCTCCTTACTGAGTTAATATCACGTTGCTACGAGCATACCTGCCTTCATCCAATCACCTGAACACTGCTCCCTCACCATCTCGTAGAGATTGTGCTTCTAGGATTTTTACTGAGCTCTCTGAAAGTTTCTGGATGGAGAAATCAGGTTGTCTGGGTGACACGGAGGATGTCGCTTTCACCACTGTACAGTAGTTTAACCACTTCCTCTTAAAACTGGAGTACAGTACTAACCTGGACCAGATTGCTATTACTTATCAAGCGAAACCACTGGCTGCTGCGCCGCTCATGAGAAACGAGTCAAATCAACAGGTTTTCATTTGTGGCTTTCAGGCTGGAAGCGGGTGGTTAACTGTCTTGCCTTGTTAGTCAATCAGCTATGTGCCGGTAGTTACTGTGGAGCTTTGCAGACTACAGCCTCTGGAAGTAAAAAAAGAAACAATAAAATAACCGTAATAAGGGTAGAGGCGAAAGCTTACCAGTATCTCCAGGTGTTTTCATTCTTTCCGCTTTAGCTCTTCGGCAGGACAGCTAAAGTTTGCTAAACTGGGAAAATTCCACAAAGCTGCTTGTGGAAAGAAAAGTCAGTCTTTCGGCCTCTTCCTCCCGCTCTGCTTTCCAATCTCGTCAAGAACTCGCTGAAGATACGAGGCAAACTTTTACAGCTTCAGCTCCAGCGGCTCTCTCTATTCGTTAAGCCGCCGCCGGGCACTCTCTCCCCCCCAACCTCTATCTCTCGGTGCGGTCCTAAACCAGCTATCTCACAAGTAGGACTCGCTTTATGCCCGCACCTCGTCGGTCCTCTCGTCCCGTAACTCGCAGCCTCAAATCTGCTCAAGTAAGACGGTCAACCGTCCCGACTCGAGCCAGGCGAAAAGTGTCGTTCTCTTCTCTTCCAACAACTTCTTTCGCTAACTGTCCGGTAGCTGTTTACTCCGTCTCAACCGCATCTTCGTCGCTGTTTGACATTTCTCCGCCGCGAACCCGCCTTACTTCTCTGACAGAAATTAACGTTAAAAAGGAACCTCTCTTTCTTCACGGACTTTTTCAGTCTTCCACTCACTCTCGCACCACTCGGCGCTCACTCTCTCCTCCCCCCGTGCCTCTCTCCGTCCTCGGAGTGTCGTGTTTCGCTCGTTCTCTTCTTTAGCGGGGCCCGCCCACACTGACGGGGGACGAGGAGGGAGGGAGGAGGGGGGGGGGGGCAAACGTGGCGAGTCACGCCCCCACTCACCACGAGCCGGGACCCGGGCTGGCGTCACTGCAGCACGCGGCGTTGCCTGGGAGACCGTTACAGCGCGCCGCTGCCGTGGTGACTTCACGTCGAATCTTGCGGATAGAGAGAGGCGCGAGAGCGGCTTGACTCGCAGCGTTCATTTACGTCAGTCAGGTATCAATTATGCCTCTTCCTATGAGGATAGATACACTTATTAAAGTAGAAAAACAACAAGAAAACGTCAGTTAGTGATTAATGCTGACATCAGGGGGCATATACTCATCAACAAATTTTTAATCAGCGGTGGCTAACATATTCAGAAAAATAGAGCAAAAACAAGTTATGTACAGACACACTCGATTCTCACCTGCTTATTATTATTTCCATGGAGAATACAGCCTATCTATAAGATAACTCAGTCACTATAGTGACAAAAAGTTTTGTGAGGCATTAATATAGTAGATTATATCTACAAGAACATTTAATTGAGGGGAAAGGTTTGCATAATTGAAACGAGTATTATACACAGGTAATTGAAAAGGCATACAAAACCTTTATGAAGGTGTTGCTCTGTGTTCCACATAATTTTGAGTGTATAGCCATCCATCTCCGGGGGTGGGTGGGGTTTGGAGCCTATCCCAGTTGCCACAGGGTACACACTGGACAGGTAGCACAGGTAGCCATACACAAGTTGCTTCTTCACTGTGGGAGGAAACCAGCAATGCATTAGAGTAGAGAACCAATGCAAACTCCAACCAGAAGGCTGGAACCAGGTGGCTCTAACCACCACACCCCTGTTGCCTTCTTAAAGTATATACATATAAAACATGTCTCTCTCTAGTAAAAAGTTTGCCAGACTTTTCACTTGTCCCCACTTTCACCCACATGTTGTCGGTTTTCTAACAGTTTTCCATCGCATCGGTTTCTTTATATTTCTCATTAGTAATGCCACCTTGTTTCTTTTGGTTAGCATGTACCTCATTCGTAAAATATGCCAATCCCCATTTGTGTTGAAGCTTTATTAGGTATGTTTAGTGTGTGCTGTTTCTTTGACTTGTTTCTTATTAACAGGACAGTGAGACCACAATTAAACATCCATCTTGATTGTCTCGACATCACTGCTGTTTTCAGTTTTGGCACAGACTGAAAAAAACCCTGTTTTAACTTTTTTTTTTCAGTTTTCTGCAAAAACAAAACTTGTGGTTACTTTGAGAAATAAACTTGAATCCTCGTGTTACTCTCTCTCTTTTTTTAACTGCAGCCAATAAGGAGTTTAACCCACCATCAAACACACACACACACACACACACACACACACACACACACACACACACACACACACACACACACACACACACACACACACACACACACACAGTGACCAAAGGAGTGCTATGTGTGCATATCAGACACCTGACAGCACAGAGACATTTGGCCATTTGTAAGGTCTTGATTGGATGTACAGAATGACCTGTTTAACTGAGTGGACAGGTGTCGTGCCACTGTTAGCTCGCACACTGCTTCCTCCTCTGCTGATATGAAGCTGTCATGTTGTGCCGGTAATGGGTGAGGCGTCACACATGGGAGGTGAAGTGCATCTCCGTTTTTCTTTTTGTTTTTTTGCCTTTTTGCACACTAGCACCTGGTGTACAGGATGGAGGTTTAAAGAGCATGTTTTTGTGCTTTTCCCCCCCTTTTTTTCTTCTTTTTTTGACCGCACTGTTACATCAGCGATACACAGCACTGCACTGCCTTGTCAACAGGATAAGACAGTGGTAGTAAAACAAAGTAAACAGTCCCCTGATGGTAACAAAGTCCCTGTGGTGTGATTTACAAACAGGATTTCTCCTCCCTTTGCTGGCCATTCTCTGACAGGCTCAGGAAACCAAGCCTGCTGTGCCTGATAAGGAACTGGACTAAAAGAAATCCATTAAACTGGGCACTGAACCTTCTTCCCATCCTGCCCTGTCTTCTTCAGAAGCAGGAAGACCACAGGAGAGACCTGTGTGACTTTTTCTCACAGTGCAGCTGACAATAGTGCAATCAGCTCAGCTGGGAACAAGTGTCACACCATTGCCCTTTCCTCTGTTTGTTGCTGCCATCTATTTTGACTTGCCTCCAGCACATATCTATCAATTGTTCTGCATTTTCAGATGTCTGCATGTCTGGGTTAGGTGAAGAGCGTTACAGCGTCTCTCCGAGGCTCTTCACACAGAGGGAGATGAGGGAAAAAGCTGAAGATCTGACGGGGGACAAGAAAATCTGACAGTCGAGTAAGAGCGATTTAACGCCGCGTGGACAAATGGCTTCTGCTGTTTGATATTCCTGCGTACGCTTATCCACGTGTGCCTCTGTCTGTGACTATTGTAACTCAAGCACAGGAGATGACATTTACCGACAGCACAGTACATTCTGAGCACTGATAAACACGGCGCTTCACTCTGCACCCTCTCTCTCTCTCCTACCCGCTTCCTCCTCCTCAACCTCCTCCTCCCTCACGCTGGCTCTTCATCCACCTCTCCTCATTTCTCTCCCCCGATTGCCTCTTTGCATTGTTCTGTTGTCTTTTACCACCCATCCATACATGTGCCCATCTGCCCTCCCGCACGCTCACACCTCTTCTCTTCCTCCTCCTCCTCCTCGTCCTTCTCCATCATCAGCCACCTCTCCGTGCCTCCGTCTCTTTTCCCTTCCCTCACACCAGCTCTCACCTTTTCTCCACAGGTCACTGCTATAGCTACAAGGTTGACAGACTTGTGAAAACTAAGTAAAGAAACTTGTATTTTCAGTATAAAGAGCTTGTTATATATTGCAATTAGGCACAATTAGCTGGCAGTGTATTTGTCCTCTACTTTATGCTTCTATTGTCTTTTTGTTGTTGTTGTTGTTTTACTTCTTCTTCTTTTAATTACTTTTTAAACAGATGGTGGACTTTTACAGTTCATTCATCCTTAAACTGTTATAATTAAAAGCCTAACTGTGATGTGAGAGCTTGCTAATTAATGGAACTTTGAATATTTCAGAACCAACATCCTAAATAACTTGAGAATATCTGCTCCAATTAGTGCACATATATTATATTTATATATTCTTGCACAGAAGTAAAGAGCTCAAAGTACAGATGTCTGAATATTGCGGCATATGCTTAAGAAAGTAAAGATTTCAGAGACCTGGGTTAAAAGCAGCCAGGTGTCCTTTTGTCTCATCAGTTAGGCCACTAGTCAGTCTTCGTCTCCTCATTTCCTTTTTAGCTTTTGAATGTAAACGCAACAGAGGCGGTGCTATAAAAATATAAATCTTCTGTAACTTGTTTGATGTGAACGTATAAAAATGTTCCATCAGTTCTAAATTTAGATTGGAAACTATCTATTCTGTCTGTAAGCTAAAGTAAAATGAGGCAATATTAAGGTGTTCAGAAGCTTTTGCTTTACAGTTTAGAGGAAGGTGATTTCCCACATGTGCAGCTGTTGATAACTAGGGCAAAAATATACATGTATGTGTATTAAACTAAGTTGAAGTAATCTGATTTTTGCATGAAAAAGAAAAACAAGCTTTACTGATGCTTTTTTTTTTATTAATTTTTTTACTGAAATCCAACTTTCAGAAATATAAAATTCAAAACAAATTCAGGGTTTGAAACGTTTTGGCTTCTGAAGTGGGGCATGGCAGCAAAAAGTTTGGGAACCACTGGATTAGACGCAGCTATAATGTGGCGAGTGAATTTGACAAACAGAGTGTATCACAGAAGAGCCTTGTCTTATTGGTTCCGCATCATCCGTAACTCCCTCTATCTCCCATCCCGCCCTTTTTTTCATCCTCTCACAGCTTTATGTGACTCTGCCCGTTCCTAATCGGAATGACAGACAGACGCTCCGCCGAAAGAAAGACGGAGGGAATGAAAGGGAGAACCGAGATTTTGTCACTGGAGTATTTGTGTATATGTGAATGCATAAGTTGAGTGGGTGTGAACATCCCCAGATTCACACCCTTATACACCCACCCCGCCGCACCTCCCATCAGACTGAAGTGATGCATCCCATCCCAGTTTCCCAAATTCCCAAGTAAGGACAGATGACCCACCTGAGATCTGTGTCAAACGGTCACAACTGATGCAGAAGACGGATGGTGCATCAGTTGTGACAGCACACTTTTTTCACTGGACGTCAGGTTGGTAGCTTCATACAGTAGCATGGCATCCAGTCAGCAGTAACACACACGCACAGACACACACACTGGTTTCTTCTGGTCTGTGCCTCTAAAACACAGATGGCTTGAGTCAGTGTAATTACCGTGGACAATGGGTGTGGTAGCCCACTAACCAGTGCCACCACAGGCAGTGCTGCAGACACACACACACACACACACACACACACACACACACACACACACACACACACACACACACACACACACACAAAATGTATGTACATGCAAAACCTGATTTCAGCAACCAGTGAAAGCCAGGCAGGATTATAATTCCTGGACGGGGCGTTGAATAACCAACAGAGGTGTAATGCAGTATTTACATAGGCTGGTTGATGATGATTCATACCACTGGTGACTTGAACAAAGGCAACAATACACACACACACACACACACACACACACACACACACACACACACACACACACACACACACACTCAGACGTTCAAGTGCACACATTTTTTTTCTTCCTTCCTCTTTTCCTTCTTTGACTTTCTCTTTTCATACACCCATGCTACAATTATCTTTGACTTGATTTCCAAGAAATTATTTTACATGATCAACTTCGAACACCTGCAAAGTCCCCCCACCCACTCACTCTTATTTTAAAAAAAAAAAAATCTGCTTCAACTCATCAAGTGAGGAGCAACCTTGACTGAAGTGAAAAAGGTTTAACTTGAGCGACAGTGAAAAGCAAACGGAAGATGGGTTGCTA